TGGTGCATTACATACTGGCAAAGAAATCTGGGCTTTATTTGTACCCACAGCACCACCTGTGCACACAGTACTTGACAGGCAATTTTTCATTCTTCCACCCCTACTCCCTCTCCCTCTTCTGAGTCCCAATGTCCATTATATCATTCTTTATGCCTTTAGTTTAGCCTTTCTGTTCTTGCTTTAGTTCACTTAGGATGATGTTCTCCAATTCCATCCATGTTGCTCCAAATTCCATCCATGTTGCTGCAAGAAGCATAAATAATCCATAAATATCTTATTGTAGACTTTCTTTCTGGAAAAATCCAACAACACAATTCTCATAGACTGAAATGTATTTGTTTCAAGAACTTTCCATACAGAATTCATCTTGGCCTCTCTCCAAATAATCTAAAAGTTTCTGCCTACTTCCAGACAACTGCTGCAATCCTGAATCAATACTGGATGACTCCCAGTGCAAGTCAGCACAGGTTTCAGACAAGCCTTGTAGATAAAAGGAGAACTCTCAAAAGACAACAGAGAAATGAGTTGCAACTTTAACTTGGCAGACCTATTTATTAAAAGAGTGATTTAGGAAATTTTTCCAATGCCACTTCTAGTTGTAGATGCCATTTGAGATCCCTAAAGCTCTGCTTCCAGAATAAATATTCCTTAGGACAGCCTTGGCTTATTGCTACTATTTGGTGTAATTATTAATAATACTCCCTTTCACTCTTGAGAATTTCAGTTTGGATGATAAAATATATGGTCACTGCATACAGGGCTTTTTCAGGGTAGAGTTGAACTCTTTTAAGATAAATTCTTTTCATTAATCTAAGAAAAATTAGCTTACCTTTCCTACAACAGAGCCTTTGAGACCCTATCTTATAATCATTTCAATATTTCTTTAGAGAAATAATTAAGATCTCACATAAGCTAATAAATAACTCCCTATGGCTCTTTTAATGGCAAAAAAAGGTAATTCCACAGGAGCTCACCAAACACAGCAGACCTGGGAGGGAAATATGAGGGTGCGTCCCTTCAGGTTTACATTTGCAAAGCAATATCCAATCATTCAAATTAGTTTTTCTATTTCATAAGTGTAAGAATATGCACCCACATTGGACATCAAGGGAATAAAGACTCAGAGGAATCTGACACAATGCCTTCTGGGTTATCGTTCTAAACTTGAATTTTGAGCACTTTTTCGTCTCATTCACTTTTTATAAACTTGAGTCATCTACCTTTCTGACCTTGGTGAGAAAATGTGCTTGGTTTAGCAATTTGAGGGTAGTAAGATTGTTAGAATATTTCCAGAGATGCTTTGAGAACATGTGAACAGGTTCCCATGGTGCAGTGTGGCTGCTGGGAGAGGGGGCTCAAGGCACAGAGAAGGAACCCTGACTCCTATGGGAGTCTTATTAGAAAGAAGCTGGGCATCCTTCTGATTGTCCTAGGGCATCTGGGGCAGATGAATTCTCAGGTTGAGACAGATAGGTTCTTATGAAGTATGATAATTGTGGGGTTGGGGAGTGAGTAGAAGAGGAGGCAGGGATAGTCCACCTGATTTATAATGTCTTTCCATCTATTGACCATGGGGCCAGATCTAGTGTATAGCTTGCCTTCTGCTGCCCAGCTCCCTATCTGCAGCCTACCTCTGACAGAAGAAAATAAGTTCAAAACAAGGCAAGGTGCACAGAACATTTTGCCCTTCAAAAATTGTGCTTGGATTGCCCTTGTCTTGTGGGAAAATGTGAGGCAGAGGAAAGAACGGAGCCATGAAACCAGAAGTCAACTATAGCATCACATTTGTCTCGGAATGGCCCTTTCACAGTCTTTCTCCTAAACCTTCTAAAGAGACGACAAGTGGAGTTCAGGAGAGAAAATTTCACCTCCTGGGTAATGGTGTTATTGAGGAGTAACTAGAATTTAGTAGGGTGTCACTCCTACCAGAGGATGTCTAGAAGACCCAGAATTCTGACATTTTGGAGTCCAAAGGTCCCCAGAGATCTTGCAACCCAACTCTCACATTTTTCCCAGGGGAGTTTCAGGCTCAGAGACAGAGTTCTTTTTACAAAGATTATACTGAACTGCTAGCCTGGGGTGCTTACCGAGCTACTTTAGCCTAAAAGCTTTGAAAATATAAACCGAGAGTAATTTCTTCCTACTGTGAAGAATTATCATGAGACCTAAATGAATGCCACTGGAAATAAATTACACATACTTCCTGCCGCACCAGCACTTGCTTACCATGGTTGGGCACTGTCCCTGAGAGAGAGATTTCCTGTCTCCGAGAAGTAATGAAGCAGAAGCTTCGGGATCCCTTCCAAGGCCCTGGGCCTAATTTTATATTTTAAATTTTGTATTATTTTGCTTAAAAAGCTCCTTCTCCCAATTTTATAAGTTTTGGGCCCCAGGAAACATGAATCTTGCCCTACCTTTCCTATGTCATAAATCTAAACATCTTATGTTCTAATTTGCTCCTGACCAAAAGGGGAGACCAGATAAAGGTAAGGATGACTCAGGGAGGATCAGGCTTGAGAAAAGAGCTCAAGGCCTTGAAAGAAGCAGGGTCAGGGATAGATACTGTTGAGATTTGGCCACACTATGTCTCAACTTCCACCTATTTTCTCGTTTCTACCCCATCAGCTCTTTGTCCAGGCTAGTTGTCTTTCAGATTTACAAAATCAGGATTTTACATCTGGCAAATATCATATTTTGTCAACATCTAACTTTGCAGGCATTAAGAATAGCTTAAGCACCTTGGGTTTCCGAATGCCTACCCTAGGAAGTGAAGCTACAGTGTTGGCTAATTCTTTAAGCAGGTAGAATATTTGTCTTTCATTAAATATAATCTGCCTCGTGTGTCCCTGCAGGGGTAGAAACCAGTGAATGAGGCCTATCTCTCTAAGCACTTCAATAAAACACATACCATGTAAATCTACACATCTTCACTTACCGTCCATTATGAGCAAGCTACTGAGTTACCCTCTAGGAGAGATAAAGCTGAACAAGACAATGCCTGTGATCAGTATTTAAAGCTTGTCCCTCATTTTAATAGCTGCCATGTACGTACCACCTACTGTGGGCCCAGCATTTTATCAACAACTCTATTAGGTGGATATGATTATTCTCATTTCGTTGATGTGGAAGCCAAGACTCACAGAATTTATGTGGTTTGTCCCAGTCACATGTCTAGGACATCCCTCTCTTGTCTGGGGCCTGCGGAGGCTAAAGTTTAGGGTGTGTCAGGAGGAAGGCAGAAAGATGATGGCAATGCCAAACCTTCCCTTCCTTGTTTCACACGAGCCTGTGTGTAAATCCCAGTTCTAACTAGCTATTTGTGCCCTTGGAAAGTTGTCTCCACCTTGGCTTCATTTGTAAACAGAACAAAACAATTGAGAAGACGAAGTGATATATAGTAGGTACAGCATCATTCTCAGCACATTCAAGTACATACAAAATAGCTCATGCTGTTATAGAATGCTCCTCCCTAGACCTGCAGGCCCAGCTTCTCATTTCCTTTAGGTCTTCAGTGAGTTGTCTGCTTTTTGGTGAGACCTGTGACCACCCTACTGAAACAACAATCCCGTGCCAACTCTTCATATTCCTTTTCCTGACTTATTTTATTACCAATTAACGTATTACAAATTGTGCTTATTTATTTTTGCCTTGTCTGTCTCCATCCACAAGGTAAATTTTTGAGGCCAAAAATCAGTTTGCATTATTATTTTTATATCATCCCAAGCACACAGAGCTGTGCCTGGTAGGAACCCAAAGTACATTGTTTAAATGAATGAATTTAAAAAAGTCTTTGGCAGGGGCTCGGTGGCTCAGCCTGTAATCCTGCGCCTTTGGGAGGCTGAGGTGAGTGGATTGCCTGAGCCCGCGGGGTCGAGACTCGCCTGGGCAGCGAGACCTCATCTCTACAATAAATCAAAAAATCAGCGGGGCGTGGTAGTTCATGCCTGTAATTCCGGCTACTTGGAAGGCTGAGGTGGAAGGATCGCCGGAGCCGAGCAGGTCGAAGCTGCGGTGGCCGGGAGCAGCCACAGCACTCCAGTCTGGGCGACAGAGTGAGACTTCAACTCAAAAAAAAAAAAAAAAAAAAGTCTTTGGCACCCAAAAGACCTAGGTTTGAATTTAGCTTTTTTCCTGATTCTTTATTTGACTCTGGGTACATTACTTAAAATGTCTAGTCCTTGGCTTCCTCACTTGTAAAATGGGGAAAATGATGGTATCTATTAAGACTGCAGGGATGATTAAGTGGCATAATGCATAAAAACTCTGGCACAAAGCAAGTGCTCAATAGATGTAATACTTGTAATGATCTGACTGGTTGTTTAAACTGTCTTTCTGCGCAGCTCAGAGCCTTTGGGATAGGAAAGGAGGCTAAAAGTCACGAACACCCTGGGCATTTTCAGTCCAATTGTCCTTGTGAGACCATTGAGAGTTGAATAGGTGTGAAAGTGTTCAATGTCCACACCTCAAAGTTTCTGAGAGGGCAGCATTGCCATTTCATTGAGAAAGAACAGTACCTGCCTCTGACCATTCATTCACAAATCTGGGCACACAGGACCTGAGCCCAGTCAGTCCTTGAGCCTCCTGCTACTGCATTCTGTCTCTGCAGTGTGGGGTGGTGGCGGACCTTGCGACCTCAGATCTGTGTTCAGCTGGGCGGTTCAACGACCGTCATCTCCCGTGTAGTACTTTGTGACATTCACACGCAAAACGTGGAAGATCAAATCCACACTTCACACGTTTGTGGCCAGGATTGCAGGAGAAAAAAAGCTCTTCGGAAACTCACGCGCTGTACAAATAACTGCTGCAACAGGCAGTAACACGCTGGCCCCTCAGCTTCCACTCCAGGGAGTCGCTCCTGTCTCCACCCCTCTCCAAGGCCGCGCGTAGGAAGGAGGATTAACCCTTAGGGGAGGAGTTCCGCCCCTCGCCCGGCTTCGCGCCGGCGCCTCGCCCCTGAGCCCACAGTCGCGCTCTCGGGTCTCCAGCACCAATCAAGCCCCGGTTGCACGTCCTAGGTCAGGTACCGCACCGCGGGCCGGCAACCAGGATGCAGGCCCCGCACAAGGAGCACCTGTACAAGCTGCTGGTGATCGGAGACTTGGGCGTGGGGAAGACCAGCATCATCAAGCGCTACGTGCACCAGAACTTCTCCTCACACTACCGGGCCACCATCGGCGTGGACTTCGCGCTCAAGGTGCTGCACTGGGATCCGGAGACCGTGGTGCGCCTGCAGCTCTGGGACATCGCGGGTGAGCGCCCTGGGAGGGGGCCCGGGGGGACGGGGGCGCCTTGCAGCGGGTCTCCAGTCCCAAGGCGAAGGCTGGCGTCCAAGCGAGGAAAGCGAAGGCTGGCGTCCAAGCGAGGCCCAGGTGGCGAGGAAAGACGTTTTCTGGTGCATTGGGAACTTGGTTTCAAAGAAAAGTTTCTCGATCTAGTTGAAACTTCCAGTGCGTTCACTGGAGCGTTGGAGCTGTTGCTTTAGTTTCGTCCTGCACCCTCCTATGGGGTCTTTCCCCTCTGAGCAGGACTCCCCGGGGAGCTAGAGAGCGCTTGTCTGCAATTCTGTTTCTCCACTCCAGCTCGTTCTCTGGGAGGGTGCAGCCTGCCGGTGACGCAGCCCCGTGTCACGCACGCTGGGGCCCGCCGAGGGGAAGCCCCCAGACACCGCAACGGCGGAAGCTGGGATAGTTCCAGGCTAGCTGGAGTTTGTCCAGTCTGTTCTCGATCGCATGCTTTACTTCAAACTTCGCCACCCTCATTCTGCCCTTCGTCAGGGGAGTTTGCTTTGAAGAAGCTAGGACCTTTATGTGTATATAGCAGGAGCAGTTATTTTCTCTCTGTTTTTCTATGCCTCTGACTCTGTCTTCTATCAAAAGGAGGTTGTGCATATATTTCAAGGCCACTTTTGTGTAAGGACCTATGACAGTCATACGATTTGGTTCGGTACTAAAATTTTCATGGAGAGATCTGGAAAATAAGAAGCTTTTTTGGCTGGGCTCGGTGGCTCAGCCTGTAATCCCGCGCCTGTGGGAGGCTGAGGTGAGTGGATTGCCTGAGCCCGCGGGTTCGAGACCCGCCTGG